AATTTTCTACCATATAAGTAGTCATGAAAATTTTTCACGCCAGCTACGATGGCGGTAGCTTCGCGGTCGATTTGTGCATAGTTTTTCTCGGATTTCGACAAGGTTCTTGAATAAAATGCTATAGGCCTTTCAGACCCATCAGACATTCTATGGCTTAGTACGGCCCCAATGCCATACCGTGAGGCATCGCAAACGAGTATCAGTGGTAGTTTTCATCGTAATTGACGAGTACGCTATCAGAAGTGACTAGGTGCTTTAATTTATTGAAAGAACATTGGTGCTCAGCTTTCCAGACAAAATTCCTATTTTTCTCTAAGAGGCGATGCAGGGGTTCTGCAATTGTAGCCTTATTTGGCAGAAAGTAGTGGTAAAAATTTAACAGTCCAAGAAAAGCCTGCAGCTGTTTCTTATCTGTGGGGACCAGAGCATTATTAATGGCCTTCATTTTCTCTGGTGAAGGCCTAACCCCAAAACCATCAATTTTGAACCGTAAAAAATGTATGGTGTGTACTCCAAATTTGCACTTATCCCGGCGAAGATGTAAACCTGATTTATCGAATCGAGATAGCACTTCATTTAGACGCTCAGATAGTTCAGTCTCTGTTCCGCCCATGATGACTATTTAGGTATATTAAAAAATATTTAATTTTCGTTTTTTTAAGTTTAACAAATTTTCCAGGTTTTATTTTATTGAATATTGAAAACTGAATGAATGAATATAAAAATTTTCAACTCAAAATTGATCGTACATAAATAAATGTAACAAGATATTTTCATAATTCAAAGTATTTTAAGAACAAGTGTTTAACAAGTAATGTGTATCACTACACTACTCCCCTCTTCCAAAAACTTTCATATCTAACAAATTAAAAGTAACTCGCTTCGTCTTGCTGGATGAACTAAGTTTACTTCCATCTAGAAATGCAGGCTTAACTGTCTATAGAAACATTTACTAATTTGTTGTGATAATTAATTTTGAACCACTTCGGTGTCTTTTCTATAACCTCGAACGGTCCTTCATATGGTTCCTGTAAACCAGTTCTTTTCCTATCAATTCTTACTAAAACAAGTTTGCAATTATATAAATCTTTTGGAATATAAACAAGTGAATCTTTATGATGACATACTTTCGATTCATAATTTTTGAGATTTTGCTTTAATTTATTCAGTACATCAGATGAATCAAATTTTGTTTCAGACCGAACTACCATTTGCGAAGGAAGCCTTAAATTTTCGCCGTTTAACATCTCCGCTGCTGTAGCGTGAATGTCTTCTTTGTAGGATGATCGCAAACCCAACAATACTATAGGTAACTCCTCATACCATCTGCTTGCGGTTCCACTAGCCATAATTGATGCCTTTAGTTGCCTGTGAAAACGTTCGACCATTCCGTTAGCTTGCGGATGGTAGGCAGTGGTTGTAATCTTATGACTTCCTAAAAGCTTTGTTAGTTCTAGTTAGTTAGTAAACTGTGTGCCCTGATCTGTTGTAATTGTCAGTGGAACTCCAAAACGTGAAACAAATTCGCGGAAGAAAGTTTCTGTAACATTTTCCGCCGAAATATTTCGAAGTGGATATGCTTCTGGCCAACGGGAATTTCTATCGATAATAGTTAAAATAAATTTAAAATCGTGTGATAAAGGAAGAGGTCCAACGATATCCAAATGTATGTGCTCAAAACGTCCTTTTGGAATTGGTATTTTCGAAACTTGAGATTTTGTATGTCTATAAGTTTTACATTTTTGACAGTTAACACATTCTTTTGTCCACTGATTTATAGTTTTGTTCATCCCTGGCCAAAAATATCTACTTGTGATCAACCGACGTGTTGCTTTAACACCTACATGAGCTATATTATGTAATTTCTCAAAAACTAATTTTCGTAACATTTGCGGGACATATGGCCTTGTTGAACTAAGTGACGTTTCACACCAAACTTGAATATTTAAAGAGGGTATTGCTATTAACTCTAGTCTATGCCTACAATTTTGATCATATACTAATAATTTAATTTCTTCATCTTTGTTTTGTTCATCAAATAATCTTCTTAAGTTCAGGTCAGTAGCTTCTAATGCTGTAACTTCAGGAATCCTCGATAATGCGTCTGCAACACAATTTAAATCTCCTTTTATGTATTTAATATCACTAGTAAATTGAGATATGAATTCTAACTGTCTGGTTTGCCTTGGGCTTCTCTCAGCTTTTGAGTTCATAGCAAATGTAAGCGGCTTGTGATCTGTATATACTGCAAAAGATCTACCTTCTAACCAATGTCTGAAATGCTTAATAGTTAAATAAACAGCAAGTAATTCTCTATCAAAAGTACTATATTTACATTCAGACGGGCTTAGTTTCTTTGAAAAGAATGCAAGCGGTTCCTTAGAATGTTTAACTTCCTGTTGTAGAACACCCCCAATAGCTCTACTCGATGCATCTACAGCAATAGACAGAATTGCATTACTGTTGAAATGCGTTAACAGTGTTTTCCTAGCAAAACTCTCTTTAACTTGCTTAAATGCATATACTGATTCATCAGTCCATTGGAGCACTTTATCTTTGCTCTTCGATGCTTTTGTTATCATGCTATATATTGGGTCAAGCATTGCGGCAAGTTTTGGTATATACCTATGATAGAAGTTCACCATTCCTACAAACTTCTGCATTTGTTTGATAGTTATTGGTTGACCGAAATCAAGAATAGATCGGACTTTTTCCTCTGATGGTTGTATACCCTCGGATGATATGTTATACCCTAGGAAACTGATCTTTTCTGCTCCGAAAATGCATTTAGAGGGCTTAATATTCAAACCGTACTTATCTAAACGCTGGAATAGCATATTTAAATGCTTTAAATGTTCTGCTTCGTCTTTGCTAGCTATCAATATATCGTCCAGATAAACAAAAGTAAAATCTAAATCGTGTAACACCTCATTTATGAATCTTTGAAATGTTTGTGCTGAATTTCGTAAGCCAAAAGGCATCCTGACGAATTCGAACATTCCAAATGGTGTGGTTATAGCTGTCTTATGGATATCTTCCTCTGCAACTGTTATCTGGTGGTACGCCCTAACTAAATCTATTTTTGAAAATATTTTCTTATTTTGAAATTCAATATGTAAATCGTGAATGTGTGGTAACGGATATCGGTCGGGTATCGTGATCAAGTTAACTCTTCGGTAGTCGCCACAAGGACGCCAGTCAGTTGCGTCTTTTTTAGGTACCAGGTGCAGTGGCGATGCTCCGTGGGATTTAGATGGACGACATATCCCGGATTTCAGTAAAAAAATCGAATTCAGCCTTTGCTATTTTGTATTTGATTGGATCTAAGCGTCTCGGGCTACAGAATGGTAATACTCCATTTGTTATGATATGATGAACTGTCGAATGCTCAACTTTTTTGTTATAATCTGGTTCAGAAATTAATGAAGGAAAATTCTTTATAAGCTTTGTATATTGGTTTTCAACCGAAAATATTTTTGGCAAAGAGATATTACAAAACGCAGATATTGCGTCGACAGACAAGTTAGTTAAGGGATCTATTAACCTCTTATTTTTTATATCTATTAAGAGTCCATACTTCCCTAAAAAATCTGCCCCTATGATGGGTTTAGAAATGTCAGCAATAAGAAATACAAACGGAAATTCCCGACGAAGTTCCAAATTAACATTTAATAATTTCTTTCCATAGGTCGAAATCATACTGCCATTTGCAGCAGTTAAAATAATGTCGGAAGATCGTTTGTGAATTTTGAATTTGGAGGAAGGAAGAACTGAAATTTCGGCACCACTGTCTATTAAAAATTTAAGCTTACTTTCCTTGTCTAATACAAATAAGCGACGTGTTGAAAATTTCAAATTGCCATTGTTAGTCGCTGCAACAACAGCATGTCCTAGTTTGTCGAGTCAGAATTATTTCTTTTAAAGGCACACGGTTCTTCACACTTACGTGCTTTACTACCAAAACGGAAATGGTACCGACAGACCCAATTTTTAGATTGAGACTTACTACGTGACTGGGAGTTTTTATTATTACTAAAATACCTCCTTCTTGATCGTGATGGTCTATCATATATTTGCGTTTTAATCTCATTAATGTCCAACTGCAAACGATTAAAACTTTCACACATTTTCGTCGTAACCTTCGCTAAATCTTCCACAATTTTCCCTAAGCCATCAAAATTATTTGAAGAAGTAAGTACTTTACTTTTAACAGCACAAATTTCACTACCACTGGTAATTTCCCAAATTTTATCTGCGAGTTGCAAAAGATCATTAATATTATTTAAATTAGCGCTGGTTAATGCAACATACAAACTTTTAGGTAGTTTCCGCAACCAAATATTTTTTAAGAAAATCGGGTCTATAGTGCTACCCGCTAACTGACCAAGGGTCCTATAATACTCGGAAGGTCTGCGATCCCCTATCTCAGTATCTGACAAAATTTTATCAAGTCTTCTCTGCTCGCTTAAAGAATGTCGGTCAATGAGAACTTTTTTTAAATTTTCATAAGTCTCAGTCTGAGGTGGATTTTGTATAACATCAAGTACATTCGCAATAACTTCTTGAGGCAAGGCAGTTATAACGAACTCGTACTTGGTCGAATCCCTACTAATTCCCTTTGTAGCAAATTGCATCTCGGCATGCACGAACCATGCTTCAGGGCAGTTAGACCAAAATTGTGGTAATTTTACCGAAGTAGCACAAATTTCAGACCTGTCATACGGATTACGTATATTATCTTGTGACACCTCACAGGGATCTTCAATATCAATCAGAGACCTACCAAGTCTATCCCCAGCACCTTTTTCTTGAGGAGAACGCAACATATTGGAAGAAGGTTTACAAAAAAATAAACTGTTCTTTGTATTTAAAAAAAATAAAATAAAATAAAATTGTCTAAGTGTAAAATTTAACACAACTAAACTACGCTAACATAAACTTATCTATTTAGATGTTTTGATTGGTGACGGTTTAAAGACTGGATGTTTTGTGGTTGTTGTTAAGGTTACGGATGTTGGTGGCTGTTGCTGCTTCTATACGGCCGACTATAATTGCGACTGCTGTTTCTGTGACATTTGTTGATATTTTGTACTTGTTGTTGTTGTTCAGCGTCAGCAAAACTACTTGGCGAGTGCTTTAAACGCGATGAGGATGGATGATAATAGACAATTGTCGATGTGGCAACGGCAGAACTTTCCTGTTGGCGTTGTTGTCGTGATGTCTGCTTATGTTGCTTTTGTTGCCTCTGTTGTGACTGATTGTCGTCGTGGTAACGATGCTGACGCAAATATTGTTGTTGATAATGATGTTGCTGCACAAATGGCGATTGATGTTTGCGTTGTTGCTGCTCTCGTTCTCGTTCCTGTTCTTCTTGCTGTTGCTGTTGCTGCTGATGGAGCTGTTGCCCGTCGTCTTGCTCTGCTTGCAATCGCTCCTGATGCTGCTGTTGCAGCTGAGACTGCTCGTATTGCTGAAGTGTGCGCCGTTATTCGCCCTCGTACACGGGGCGACTGGAGTAGTCGAAATCGGACGCGTTCACAAGCGACGTTTTCATTTGTATTCGCTAATTAGATGCAATGCAAAAATTCTTTGCAATCTTAATGCAATACAATAAAATCGCCGCGTCTATTCGTCGTCGTTATTGTTTTCAAAAATGTTGTTGGACGCGCCGTATCGCGTTCGTAAGAGTTGTAATAATTTGTGGTTGCTTTTGTTATTGTAGCCGTTGTCGAATTCAATTTCGACAAATGTCCTCGAAAGCGATTTTCACGTTTCTAAATTTTATCTTTGTTAAAAATTTCTCCTGGCAGGGTCGCCAATTTTAGGTATATTAAAAAATATTTAATTTTCGTTTTTTTAAGTTTAAC